TTATAGAGCACACCATCCAAAATAGTGACAAGTGAAGAGATTAGGGTTTGATCACCTTGTTTATATACTGCTTTCTTGTGAGAAATGCCCCCATTGAATGGGAGAGATCCGTTGTTTTCAGCTAAGCTCAGGGGTAGTCTTCTGATACTTCAGCTGTTGTGGAACTACAAGTCCCAGCTGGGTAAGTCTATGAGACATTGATGAAGACACTGAGAGAACATCCCTCACAGCACCCATCCAGTCATCGTCTGTAATAGGGCCTAGGTCAGTGGTGGCGAACCTTGGCACTCCAGCTGTGCCAAAACTACATATCCCAACATGCATCTGCCTCTTGGAGTTATGTCTGTGGCTGTCAGAGCCTTGCAAGGCCTCATGGGACTTGTAGTTCCAAAACAGCTGGAGTGCCAAGGTTCGCCATCACTGGCGTAGGTCGTTCTCCCACTGACTCCTGGCACTCAAAGGGGATTGTAGTGTCGAGTTGGTTAATAAGCAATTATATAGATAATAAATAATGCCCTTAGTATTGCAGGCAGCAACAAGGGCGTCCAGGACCAGTGTTGGGTGGAAGTGTGGAGAAGCGTTACCAAATTGGGTCGTCAGAGCATGTCTAAGTTGCACAACAAGTCCCAGCTACAGGCATGACTCCCAGCGGTAGAGGCATGATGGGATTTGTAATTTCACCACAGCTGGCATACCAAGGCTTCCTACCCCTGAGCTAAGCCATTGTTGACTTTTTGTTTTAACTTCTTGCTCATTCTATTACCAGCCATGTTCTACTGGTCTTCATGTAAAATCCAGTGGTTTTGCATCCATTAGTAATGGCTTTGTAAAACCATTTTTGTGCTCAGTAGGGCTGCAGCTAACGATTATTTTCAAAATCGATTAGTTGGCAGATTTATTAAGTTCGATTAATCGGATAAAAAAAAAAGGCTCCAGTGATGGACTACTAGTTTGTATTGAGATTGTAGTCCATCACGGGAGCAAGCTTGGAGCGGTGGAAGTAAAAAAAAGTGTGGTGTGGAATATAGTACATTATACAGAGGCGCAATGCAAAATACCAGCAGCTTTAGAGGAATACAACAAATCGCAGCAATAGTACACTATAGTGTACTATTGCTGGGATTTGTAGTCCTCTGTAGCTGGCGTTATTCTGCATTGCGCTGTATAATTTATTATTGCTGGGATTTGTAGTCCTCTATAGCTGGTGGTATTCTCCATTGCGCTGTATGATTATACGGCGCAATGCAGAATACCACTGACCAGTTATAGAGGAACTACAAATCCCAGCAATAATACATTATACATCGCAATGGAGAATACCACCAGCTATAGAGGAACAACAAATCCCAGCAATAGTACATTATACAGGCTGCTTAATGTATTATTGCTGGGATTTAGTGTTCCTCTATAACTGCTGGTGTTCTGCATTTTATTGTGCATGGTATCCTGCATTGTATAATACGGTGGCACAATGCAGAATGCCACCAACTAATGTATATTCTGGTCAGTGGCGTAACAACCGGGGGGAGCGCCGGCCGAAAATGGCACTGTTGGCTAAATGCCGAAAGTGTCATTTTCCTGCAGAAACATCGGTGCGGTGCATCCGTGCTTTCTTTCCTCCCCGCTGGGCGCTGCTCTGTGTCCCAGCGGGGAGGAGAGAAAGTGACAGCCTGCGTGAGGAGAGCGCTGTGAGCGGCCGCTGTCTCTCCTCCCAGACCACTCAGCCGCCTATCACAGTCCGGCAGAGCGGTGTGGGGGTGGAGACAGGCCGCGCTGTCACAGGAGGCGGAGCTCTCCTCCCGCTCGCTCAGCCTCCTGTGACAGCGTGTCAGAGGAGAGCAAGTGCAAACACTCAGTGATCGCTGAGTGTACATAATTGAGGACCTGGTATGTGTACTGTATCCCCAATTATGAATGAATGGGAAGTGATCTACATCACCTCCTGTTCATTCATAATTGTAGTTATAGTAAACAATGTACTCATGTTATGAATGAACAGGAACACTCAGTATAGAGGATTCCTGTTCATTTATAACAGGGGCTGCAGAAAAAAAGATTGAGGACTCTGTGTTCTAAATCTCTTTTTTTTTTTTCTATTTTAAAAGGGAAATATCAGGGGTCTGTTTAGACCCCCAATATTTCCCCGAAGCCCCTAAAAGTAACATATTAAATAAAAATATTGAATAAACAAAAATAAATATAAACTTTTAAAAAAAGTTTATAAAAATAAATAAAAATACAATGCCATTATAGAACGTAGAATAAAACATAGATAAACTTAAATGTTCTATTCTTAGTTCTATAATGGCATTGTAGTACTTTCAGGTGTACAGTAAATAACACAGCTTCATAACATATCAGCTAGGGAACTACAAGTCCCAGCATGCCCTCATTGCCCCTGTACAACAACCAGATATTGCCGTTCCCTGGGTGATATGTGTGTATGTGGGGGGGTTTTGTACAGGGACAATGATTGCATGCTTGGATTTGTAGTTCCCTAGCGGATGTGTGTGGGTGGGGGGTACAGTTTCAAGGGGTCCTGACTTTCACATCGGGCGCCCTCGGTTGTCTGCGAGATAGCAGCGAGTGAGGGAGCTCACGGCAGCGGCGTGCGCGGCTTCAGTGTCCTGTGCGGTGGGCGTGGCTTCAGCGTCCTGGGCGCGTGGGCGCAGCGTGTGACGTACGTGCGACTCAGGCCGTGTGTGGAGCCCCGAACAGGCTAATCAATAGCCGACGAATCGACGATCGAAAACGTCGACAACGTTTTCGATCGCTGATTTTAATCGACTTAATCGATTAACTGTTGCAGCTCTAGTGCTCAGAACAGAGTCCGAATAGAGGCGATACTAAAGCTGTGGGAAACTGCAGTTCACATACATATATGCCTGTAAGTAACCAGTTAGCCTTACTGGACATATTTACTGGGAGTTTCCAAGTTTTATACTTGTGACTTGATGTGCTCGCTGTTTAGAGTAGATGATATCCGTTTATAAATAGCTGACAGTGTACCTGTTCATTCGCTGTATTACACCTAGAGTTTTCCTTATACATGTTTTGCTCTCGGCCTTGAAAGTGTTGTCAGATTGTCCAAATCAGGAGAGCAGCCTAGGGTGAAGCAAGATGGTGAAGCAAGATAAGCCAGCAGCCACCACATCTGAGAAGCTGCAATATATTATGTGTTTGTTTTTTGGGTTTAGCTGCGGTTTAAATATTTGCAACACAGCAAAATACAAGGACAAGAGGTTTTAGATGGTTCACTACTGCTCCTTAAAGGAGAACTATGAGGTGAGTGCTTTTCACTCGCCTCATAGTTCTAGCCGACCTGTGACAATGAGACTGTCACAGGTCGGCTCAGTAGATCGGGAGGTGAGCGAACACATACCGGCGTTCGCTCACCTCTCGATCCTGTCACGGCTCTCTGACGTGACAGGGGAGGGGCTGGATTTCCCCCGCTCCGATGCGCCAGTGCTGACTGGCGGAACGGACGGGGGATAGAGGGCCTCAGCTGTGGCCCCTGACATCATCAATGGGCCACATATAATGCTTAGTATATGTTATGCTAGAGGGTACTGTCAGAGACTGCAGACATACTGGTGATAATAATGGCTGGAGACGCTGGGTGCGCTACATCTGTGGTTGGAGACTGTGGATGTGCTGCAGAAGGTTGAGTAGGCTAATAGAAACCACTGTTATAACCTCTTGAAAAATAAGTTCCCACTGCAAGGGGTCTACAGCCCCATTCACACCAGAGCATATTGTGAACATGTGTCAAACGCACAAAAGTTCGTGTTTCGATGTGCATTCACGATATGCTCAAACCCAGAACGCTCTTAAGTTGCCATTAATGGGTAATGGCAGCCCTAACGGGGCCAAGCAAATGCGTTTTTTTGCATGCACAAGAATGCTGGCGGGAAAAAAGTGGAACACATGTCAAATTTGGGACTTGTACTACTTTTATGCGATTGGCACGTGTTCAGGGACCCAATGGGGATCAATAGGGACGCATGCCAAACGCAGGAAACAAAGTCCCGCAAACGTGCACAAACACGTGTCCCCGCTGCGCCCTGGTGTGAATGGGGGCTAAGGGCCTCACAGCAAGTATCAAAGGTTTGCATTCTGCCTTGAAGCCGCAGATTGGGCACCATGGCCTTTAGCTTGGCCATATACTGGCTTGAAGCAGGACTCAAGCACTCTTTGGACCTCTGTGTTCAATTTTTCAATAAATTGTCAAAGGCACCGGTCCAAAAACTCTTGGTAGAACAGAGACTTCAGACAATCTGCTGTGGTCACTGTTTTGGTATTCTGACATTGGCACAATAGACAGGGAGAGTTGTGTAGTCCTATAAACCAACTTTCTGTCCTAGGCTGACAGCTCTGTTCCTTAATGGATACAGTCAGAGAGCTTGTCATCTAAGGACAGGAAATGTTACTGGTCAGTGCTGGGTGGGGTGCACAGGCAGTGGACAATTCCTTCGCCCGCTCTCGTATGGGATTTTTTTTAATGCTCATGTCGCATCTATGAATGAGGACTTAGAATGGCATATGGTAGTCTTGCTTATTTGTTTTCTCCTTTCCCATGTCAACTAATTTGATGCCTGGTCTTCAGTTTCTGCACTGAGTTGGGAAAACTTTTCTATTTATTTTTTAGTGCCAGCTCCTTTTGTTTGCTATAAGATGACTGCTTTGTGCTTTTGCATCTGTGTTTTTAACTGTGAGGGTTGTGACCTGCTGTTTGGAGCAAGGTTTTGGATGGGTGGGAGTTTTATTCTGTTTATACTCCTGTATATTATTTTTTTCTGTCAAAAAGGAAAACAGTTTTTTGTTAGCTTCTGTTTTTGTTAATAAAAAAAGTATTTGATTTAAAAAAAATTTAAACAAAAACACTGCATTTGGGCTTTAATTAAACTATATGACGCCTGAATTCTCAGCAGTTTAATTTTTTTTCCTTTTCACGGTTGCCCAAGAATGATATTCATATTTATTTCTTTTTTTGTTTTTAGTTGTTGCATCCTGAGTGCATCTTCTTGTAGAGTTCTTGGTTCCTTGTATTTTTTGGACAACACTTGCAGCCTTGCAGCGGTCTTTCAATGCAGTTTTCTTCTCCTTTCTCGCGCCCTGCTGGATCCAGCTAGAGTAAGTGTGATGTGTGCTTTGCTTTTTACAATGTTTCAGATTTCTATTGTTTGATCCATTTACCTAAAGAGAACACCAGTGTTCTCAGAATCTCTGTTATATGGCATATATGTTGCTCCCACTCGTAAAGCTGCAGACATCCTCCATGTGCATGTTCATTTGGAGACTAGTTTGGGCAAGAAGGTCACACTCTTGTCCCCCAGCAAACACAGGAAAACTGGTGCAGGGTGAAATCACCACAAATTGTGTACAAAGATGAAATTTATATTGGCTTAAAAAAAAAAAGCCTACCTTTTAACGGATGATAATAATAATGTGCAAAGAAAGTTTTTAAGTAATGATTATTGTGGCATAGCTGCCCATTGTTCTAATTTGGGAATATTGGATGTGTCATGTACATTCTTTTGTATGGAAACCGATAACTGATAAATTCGATTTTTTTTTGTTTCTCCCTGTCAGTCATGTTTCTGGCATTAAATTTGTGAGCCGCTGATGACAGCTATTAATTTAAAGGGGACAGTCTGCTGAACAGTTCTACTATAAGCTGATGGTCGCTTTTATAGTAGATATAACTGTAAATGCCAGGTCCGTACGACGTACTGAGCTGGCCAGCTGGAAGCACTTTTGTAGCTCCGTACGACGTACGTCCTTGGCAGCGAAAGGGTTAAGTTTATTCGATTTTGCTGGGAAGTATTTTATATTTCTATTCTTTATTAGCGTTACGTGTTTATTGAACGTCTCAATGCCCAATTCACTTCTTCAGTTACAAACCTTTTTTCCTCTGCAGCTGAAGGAATAAGAAAAATCTGAAAATGAAGGTGGATAGGACGAAGCTGAAGAAGACGCCAACAGAGGCAGTAAGTATCCTTGAAAGTGTTTATTCTTCCTTTAAAAAAAGCGAAGTAGATTTCCATGTGCTTCCTTCATTGAGTTTTTATGTGGTGTGTTTTAATAGCATAATGCATGTTGGGTTCACTTTTAGCCCTGTAATCTACCATACCAAGGGGTGGTATTAACAGGCTTTTGTTTGCGTCCTACCAATTTTGCATTCTCATACAAGTCTATGGGGATGCAAAACCTGTTTGATGCAGGTCAAATGTCAAAAGGTAGTCAATTGTAGGTCGTGTACACTTGTCACTGACATCGGAATAATGTTAGAAGCATCTCAAACTGATGCCAACTACACAAGCCTGAAGGCCTGCTTAAACAGGGCCTTAAACTGTTGAACTTGTTAAAAGCACAAGGAAGTGTGCTGTAAAATGCAGAACAATGTGTTACATAAGCTGCACTGTAACACACACACACACACACACACACACACACACACACACACACACACACACACACACACACACACACACACACACACACACACACTATAGATATATATATCTTGTAAATCCTAGCTTGGCTCCTCACTACTGACCGTCCGTGGCCAGCACAGTGCTTACATCAATGGGTATTGCACATCCTTATTTTCATTTATTGTAAACTTTGTATTCCAGACTTGGCTTTGTAGGTACATATTGCAAGGCCCTCATTCCTATCTTTGCTTTACTCCATAAAGAGTTGCTGTCATGGAATAAGCCTGTGTGTTTTACATGCAGCAACACGTAATATGCACATGATATGTTGCAGGTCAGTGACTGTCGTGTTTGGAATAATGATAAATGCGAAGGAGGGTGCATCTAGTACAGTGAGTGAGGAGCACCTTAGACAAGGAATTGCAAACCTTGGGTGTTGAAATTCGTTGTTTATTTTTGGTTAAATGCATGTCCTGCACATTTTCAGGGGCTTAAAGCACCCCCGAAATATGTTGGCTTTACTTAACTTACCATAACTAAATGGATGTTAACATCCAAGCATTGCAATCTGCTGTCTAAGGTGCTCCTCACCCAGTCAGCCATAGCGGTTTTCATGTATCTAATCTGACAATTCCTTTTAGCCCACACCAGTGATGGCTGTCCTTTGGTCCAGCCACACAAACAGAACATCCAGACACTAGAGTGAAGCACATCAGGTTGCAGTTCAAGATGGCAGTGATTAGAATACTGCAACTGTATGCCTGTCAATGGGAGTTTAAATCTCCAAAACTGATGCATGATTTTTTTTGTATGCTAGTATTGAAAGGTTTGACTTATTAATTGCAACTTGGTGTGCTCACCTTAGATGTGCCACAGCCTCCTGATGGTGCCATTTATATCTTGCAGGTTTGTATCTGATTGAAAACACTCTTCTAGCTCTCTAATATGTTGAGCTTAGTCCAAATATCTGTATACCATCATTTCAAAAGCCATTAACTGAAAGGTTAAAGGAGTTTTACATCTATTTGATTTGGGTGCAACATTATGTGCCCTAGCTGGAGAGGTTGAATGTGAACATGGCTGTTGCCCCTCCCCTCTGGGATGAAATCTTGCTAGGAGCACTGCAGTAGTTCGATACCTGAAATATTGCTAGGATCACTGCAGTAGTTTGGTACATGAGAAATAAAGCTTTTCCATTGTTGTATACAATATTTATCTGTCTCCATTGTTGCAGAAGGTATTTATCTTCATCTCTTTTTCCCTACAGCCTGCAGACTGCAGGTCTCTGATTGACAAGCTGAAAGTTTGCACAGATGAGCAACTTCTGCTCGAGCTACAGCAGATCAAAACATGGAATATTGGAAAGGTATGTGATCTATCACCAATCTTCAATTTTAACTGGTGATGAATCTCTTATGATTTGCTGCAACTTTTTCTTGTTTGATGTAACCCATTTTATATTGTCATGTAAGTGTCACTTATCTGTTATTGAAAATCACTCTATATGTTAGAATCCAGTGAGTTATTTACCAATTGATCCTTTTCTGTTTGTGTAGTGTGAGCTCTATCACTGGGTGGACCTGTTAGATCGCTTTGATGGGATCCTAGCGGACGCTGGGCAGACTGTGGAGAATATGTCTTGGATGCTGGTGTGTGACAGACCTGAGAAGGAGCAGCTTAAAGCACTTCTGCTGGCAGTCCTCAACTTCACTGCCCTGCTCATTGAATACAGCTTCTCTCGGCATCTCTATAGCTCAATTGAGGTATGTCTTCATTGTATAGGCTTTCCCAAAACACTAAATAAGGTAATTTAGTAAAACAGTTAATACATACGCATGCATTAAATGTTCACATGCTGCTTTTTCCATTTTACCATAAAAAAAAAAAGCCACACATCCCTGTATTGTGTCACTTTTGACCTGCTGTCATTTTTACACACACGCCTATCACTTACTGGTCGGTAGGCACTCTTATTTGCTCAGATTACTGACTGAAATATTTTCAATGTAGTTACATCTTAAACTAAATACTTGCGGTGACAGGAATTAAGAATCAGTACTGTGTCTGCCTGCTGACTACGTTGACTGATGAATACCAATTTTGTGAACTGCAAGAGAAAGGATCACTCAATATAAACCATTCTTATTTCTAGCTTGTTTGGGTCGTGTACGAGAATTTAAGCTTTAATGCCACCAAGTTCATATGTATGAATTTCCACTCGCCCTCTCTTTATTTCCACTCGCCAAATGTGAGCGGGCGAGTGGAAATTTTGAGCCATATATATATGAAATTCACTGAAATTTTGGCCACCGAAACATTTTGCTTGAAAATGGCACTTTTGGCAAAATGCAGAGTGCTATATTTCAGCCAAAATAGCTGTGCATCCTGCTTTCTCTCCTCCCCGCTTGGCCGCTGCTCTTTGTCACCTCTGACAGCGCAGCGTCCAGTGGGGAGAAGATAAATTGTCACAGGAGGCAGAGCGGGGGAGTGGAGTGCTGTGAGCGGCCGACGTCTCTCCTCCCGCACCGCTCAGCCTCCTGTGACAGATCAGGAGAGCGACAGTGTGGGGGCGGGGACAGCTGTCGGCTTTCACTGGAGGGGTGGGTGATTCAGCAGACTGAGCTCTCCTCCCCGCAATGCTCGCTCGGCTTCCTGTGAGAGTGTCAGGATGGAGAGCGGGTACAAGCACTCAGTGATCACTGAGTGTTTGTAAATAATTGAGGGCATAGTATATTTACTGTGTCCCCAATAATTAATGGGAAGTGCTTTACATCACTTCCTGTTCATGATTGAGGACATGGTAAACATACTATCTCCACAAGTTATGAACAGGAACACTCAGTATAGAGGATTCCTGTTCATTTATAACAGGGGATACAGGAAGAGATTGAGGACTCCGTGTTCTCAATCTTTTTGTATTGTTAAAGGGAAATATCAGCGGTCTGTTTAGAGCCTCCATATTTCCCGGATGCCCCCAACTGTAAAGTAAAAAAATATAAATTAAAAAATATATATTTAAAAAGGTTGGAGAAAAAAACATTTTTGGTTTCGGCCTGACATCATTTTTTTTTATTTTTTTTATTTCGATTCTGTTTTGGTGTTTAGATTTTCATTTTGGTGCACCTGTAATTAATAAAATACACACACACACATGAGCTGTGTCACATGCGGATGGAGGAGTATATAGAACGTTAGCCAGACTTGCTACAAACCCCTGTGCAACCAGCTCAGTGTTTTGTGATAACAGAATCACAGTTAACACCTCCGACTCTTTTCTCCATAAGAACGGAAGGAATGGTGATTTGTTGTACAAATTTCCCAACAACTGAAAATCTGTATGTAGTAAGGAGTGCTTCCAACATTTCGCGTGTGACAGCACAACAGGAGCAAAGATTTTCTATGTAGCTGCTTAATCCATAAATTCCCCCTACAGTTGCTCTAAAAGCATTGAGACAATAATAAACCTGCCCAGTCACTTCTTGATTGTGCACTTAATATTCTATCTTGATAGCGAAGATAAATTTGTTGTAGATCTTTCAAAATCTGTCTCAATTGCTCAGAAATGCCAGAATGAGAGGCACAAATACATATGCAAGTCATTTGCTACATAAGAGATGGTTTAATTTGCAGCAGAATGCTACAATTTTCAATTGACTTGCTTGACTAAAGTGATATTAAAGCCTCAATTTTTTTTTGCCCTTTAAGTGGACCCTCCCGTTGCTGCTTTTCATTAAAACTGTTCAATTCCTCGTTTTCTAGTAGGTCCCCGCAGCAGTACTCCCCCTGCACAGGTGCCACCATCGGTCTAACTGAGGCGCTCGTGCCCGCTGTGGCTGTGTGCGTCCATAGACATACACAGCCCTGTGGCAGGCCACGCCCCTTCCCTCTGATTGATGGCAGAAGGAGCCTATGGCTCCACTGCCATCAGTATCCTCCCCCTGCAACACAGAAGTTCGGGGGAACGGAGGATCGCTTCGGGACTGGCGGCGAGGACGAGCGTCGCTGACAGGTAAGTGCGGGGGGGGGGGGGACTGGGGGAGAAAAAAAAGTTGCTGGGCCGTTTTTACCGTAATGCAGAGAATGCATTAAGGTAAACGCCCAGACCTTAATACTACTTTGACTTCACCTTGTGTATTTTTTAAAATTTCTATTGGCTGTCATAAAAAAGGGTTTTAATTTGCTGACACGGTTTTGTTTTTTTACCCTTATAGCACTTAACAACGTTGCTCGCCTCTTCTGACATGCAAGTGGTGCTAGCTGTGCTAAACCTTCTCTATGTCTTCAGTAAAAGATCTAATTATATCACACGCTTGGCCTCTGAGAAGAGGACGCCGTTGTTATCACGACTCCAGCATCTAGCTGAGGTGAGCTCTTTGTAACATATTTTCATATAACTTTTATGTACATAGATAAACAATGTTATTTTTTTTTCCCTCACTCTTCATCTTGATTGTTTTCAGAGCTGGGGAGGTAAGGAGAACGGCTTTGGTCTTGCGGAATGCTGCAAAGACATGCAGATGTCGGTAAGATCATTACTGCAGATTCAGTAGAATGTTTACATAAATTGCAAGCTGGTTTATCTAAAAGATCTATACCGGAAAACTGACTGGAGGAAAATAAATGATTGTGTTTTTGTGCTGATCACCACACCGTTTATTTTCTATAATAAGAGGATAGAATCCTAATAAAACTGCCATGAATATTCAGATAGCAAAAATGTGAACCTTAGAAATTCATAAATTGTGTATATGTAGTCTGTTAAACAAACCAGGAATTAAATGGACAACCTGCAATGATTTTAATTGGTGATTGCTACTTGGATTTGCTTTTTGGTGGCTACACAAATTAAGTGTTGGAAGTGCACTAAATGTAGCAAAGTAGATGTTGAATTTAGAAAATGAAAATGGCCTAATTTTCTAGCAATTCTGCGTACCTTACATATATTTTAGTGAACTCTTTTGTTGCTGATTTTGCCTTATTCTTGCTATGCGTTTACTGTTAATAAAGCAGACAATTAAGCAAAATTTCTTGCCAGCAATCTGCCCCAAATCTGGGGAAAAGACGCTCTAGCACTGTGCAAGAATGTCTTCCCGCATGATTTCTTAATAGTTAATTAAGGGACACAGGTTTGAAGTAATGCCGAGTCGTCTAGGTTATACTTCTGCTCTCAAGAGACTGGACACTGGCAAACCCCTCTCCTATCATGCTTTAGTTTTTTTGCTAGTGTCCTAGGAGAATGGACCTCTTTCACTCTGAGAGAAACAAACCTTTCATTCTTACAAGACTTATGAAGACTTTTTTGTTGTTGTCGTCAATCAAGTGTCTTGATGCTGTAGTGTTAAGCATGGTTGCTTTTGCAGTGTTCTAAATCAGTCAGTACTTGACATTGTCTTGAAGGCTTTACCTGGACCCTGCTGCGGGTAAGCCACGGGGGTGGCCTGTCTGGCGGCCCTTGAACCCAGCCCAAGAATTGCAGAAGTCCCTACTTCCATCGCTCTGGAGGATTCCCACCAGATATGCCAGCCTGATAGACAGGGTGTAAAGGACACCTCCCCAATCACTGCATGGAACATTGTCTGTGGAGGGAGCCTGTTTCCTGATCAACAATAGTGTAACTGACCAGGATTCATTTGGACATTGCCATAACGGTGTCATACATCAACCATCAGGGAGGAAGCAAACATCTTGCTGCTCAAAGAGAAGTAGACCAGATTCGGAGTTCCAGTACTATCCCCCGCGCATATTTCCGGAGTGGGAAATTGGTGGGCTCACTTCCTCAGTCGACAGTATCTTGACCCTGTAATGTTCTCTTTTTGCTAGAGGTGTTTCAAGACCTTTGTTGTAAAGTATGAAATGCAGGACCTGGACCTCCTGCTTTCCAGATTCAATAAGCAGTTGGGCAGATTTATTCTAGGTCTAGGGATCTGATACATAGCAGCGGATGCTCTGGTCGCTCTGTGGGATAATTTTAACCTGGTCTATGCCATTCTTCCTCTGAAGCTTCTTCCTTCGCTGCTTTGCAGACACTTTTGGTGAAGTTGTCTTGTTAGTAGATTCACCCCAGCCTAAGTGTAGGCAATCTGATGTAACACTTGTTACCCCCCTTGCCTGTTCCAGCAATCTCTCCTCCTTTGTGGTTTTGGCCACCTTCTCTTTTTATTGTGGATGCATGTCCCAGCCCCATGCATTCCTATCGGTAAGTCATACTCTGAGTGACTGTTGTAGGCTGCTGTTAGTTTGGCCTATCCATTAAAATGAATGGGACTAGCCCTGCACAGTATCTTGGGTAGGTGGCTGGAACAGGCACAAAGGTAAGCATTGGACCAGGTTTTTTGCACTCTGGGGGATGAGGGCATTTATTACATGGCATACCTATTTGTCCTTTTAATGTTTGTCTAGTAGAAAGGAGAGAGCGCCACTTTTTGCCTGGAAATAGTTTATATTTACCATTATGTTATGTTAAACCTGACAAAATAAATGCTCTGAAAATGGTACTTTGGGCAAAATGTTGAAAGTGCCATAACAGTCAAAAATGTCGACAAATTCATTGCATCGCTAGGCTTCTCTCCTCCCCGCTGGTTGCCGGTCTGTGTCCAATTCGATGCCCGCTGCTCTACCCTGCCTGTATCGGCAGAGCCAGCGGGAATCCAAAGGAATACAGACCGGCAACCAGCAGGGAGGAGACGGCTCAGAATGCTGAGTGGAGCATTGCAGGGGAGTTGTTGTCTGTCACAAGAGGCCAAGCTCGCCTGTGCCGCCCTGCTTGGCCTCCTGTGACAGCGAGTCAGGATGGAGAGCGGGTTAGGGGTTGATCACTGAGTGTAAATAACTGAGGGAATAGTATGCTTACTGTGTCCCCAGTTATGAATGAACAGGAAGTGCTCTACTATAACCACAGGTTATGAATCTACACGAGTATTCAGTATAGAGGCGTCTTGTTCATAGCAGGGGCTGCAGAAAAAGATTTAGGACTTGGACAAAAAAAATTAAATGATGAATAATGTAAACATTTTTATAAAAGTTTAGAAAAAAAACCCTTCATTTTCAATTTCCATTTCGGCCTGACAAATATTTTTTTTATTTTCGGTCTATAAATTCCATTTCGGTGCATCCCTAGTATAATAGCACTACTAATACTTTGGCCTTGCTGCTGTCTTAGGTTTATCAACCCCTTTATAACTTATTTCTACAGAAATATCCCCCCAGCGCCACCACTCTACATTTTGAATTTTATGCAGAACCCGGGTCCGAGGTGAAAGTTGAAAAAAGGGTAAGTCTTTAGTTGGTTTGTAGATCCTGTATGTCTTTGTATAGAGCTGGTTTGGCAGATGAAGATATGATGATGGGTTCGAATATGGTTGATAAAGTTTTTTTTTTGTATCTTTTGTTTTAGACGTCAAGTAACACACTACATTATATTCACATAGAAGAGCTTGATAAGGTAATAATCCCGAACTTTTTCTGGCTGTGCAAACTAGCAGATTTCTGTTCAGTCTTCTGCCAAAGGACTAATTCTACTATTTGTTACTAATGAGTGAGTTTGCTTTCTAGATTTCTGAAAGTCCCTCGGAGATTATGGAGTCCCTCACTAAATTGCACAGCATTCCCAAGGACAAACAGGTAGAGTGCCATTTTATCCCTTATAGTGGAGTAGTAGGATTGAAAAGATGCAGTCTCCCCTGCCCTTGCTTTGTGGCAATGAAATTAATGACTTCTAGCAAATTGGTTTCTTTAAACCAAAGATAAAATCTCATCTGTATCAGTAGATGGGCTTACTGTTTTTATATATTTACTCCAAGTTGTATGTATTAGGCCTTGTTCACACCGAAAGCGTGTGCGTTCCAGAGCGCTAGCTACTGGAACGCACGTCAATCACTGAGAAATCCCCCCTGCACTTTTTGGGGAGGGGGCGTGGCGATGCATTGAATTCAATCGCACGGCTTCCATGCCCATCCCCCCTCCCCCCCGCCCGCAGTGCGATCGAACGCGATCAAGCAATAGGCAAGCCCTATTTTTTTCAATGGAACGGAC